ATATATGTACTATATATTCATGTATAAAGTATATAAATATACTGTACTAATATGTACATTATAAAACATGTCCTCAAGATACAAACGATACATTTTAAATATTCTTTATATTGGTATACCTTAATATCTTTATTTTTTTGGATAAATTAATGTTTTCTTTCTGCACTCTAACACAATGTCTTGCAGATCACCCCCAGGTGCTAGTGTTTTCCTTTTTGAAGACCTTTGGTTTAAAGAAACCTGTGGTGTTAAGCTTCCAAGATTGTCTATGAAGGGATACCGTACTTTCACTAGCATTGTTTGGTACAACAAAATACCTCTTAAGAAAAGCAAAAGCCAACACGTTGTGCATCTTTGGCTGAGCATTTATATTTTGATGTTTTTTAATGCTGGCAGCTGGCAGCATCCGATATTGTGATATATTGATAATCAAATCCTGTGGTAGAACAGTATTTTTCTCTCTCAGTTCCATCTCACTAAAACAGCTAAGATTAAGCTTGGGAAATATGATGCTTCAGCCCCCACTCTCTGGGAGAACCTGAGATCGTGAGAGCCAAGGCAACACAATGGCCTTGCCTGAGAAACTAATTAATTTGGGTCCCCAATGTTGAGGAATTTGAGCACCCAAGTTCGGAGCCAAAGATCTTTCTCATTAAGAAGTGTGCATCCCTCAGTTTGGGGAGGACCTGCACTGAGAATTATAAATCCACTAAGCATTTTCAATCTCCACCCTACTATCTACTAGCTCTGGTTGAGGGGGGCTTATGTGATGGGGGAAAAAAAAACCCCTTCCCTCCACCCAGTGCTGTATTTTTGTTGAGGATGTAAGAAAGTTGCCCAGCTTAACAGAGCTGCCAGCCAAACCATACCAAGCAGGGACCACAGTTCTGTCCTGAACACAGGAATCCTGGATTAGCCAACCCAGCTGCTCCAAAAGTCTGAGAAAGCCCTTTTCTAGGAACTAGGAAGTCACCCAGCAGTCAGCAACCCTGCAGAATGTGGGTCCCCCTCTCCCTCCTGCCCCTCACCATTGCAGTGCAAAGAGAAAGACTGGAGGCAAATTACAAGAGACACTATCTCTGGGGATTTTGTGCAGTGAATCAGGCTGCATAGTTTGCAGAGTTGGACTCAGAGGGCAGAATCAATCAAAATTACATGTTGTGCCTGGATATGCCTTTTTATTGTGTTATTCTGTCCCAAGTCCAGAAGAATTATATTCTTTAATTTGGGATCCTCAGGGATGCTTTAATTTGGAGTTCTGCCCTGAGGAAAGAGTGGAGCAGGTAGCCGAAATGGCCTGCTTCAAATTTATGTAATGTAATTTCCTGGCGTATTTTGCTGTGCCCTACCTTGTGGAGATTAAATGGGAAGGAAGGAAGGAAGGAACCCACAGCAAGCATGGCTAATTTAATAGAGAATCAAAGCACAGAGATGAAAACTATTTCAACCCCAGTGGTTTAGAAAAAAAATCATCCCTCAATTTATCCTGAGCAGGTTCATGGTCTCCTAACTACTGGCTTCCATGATCTCTCATTTGGGAATGGATAAGCTATGTGCTGGCTCCCAATAAGTATAACCCTGAAATCCTCTTCACACAGCAACCTTTCTCTAAGTTGTTGGATGACCTTTTCTTCAACCAACTCTCTTCTACTCAATCTGCTTTGCATCAAGGTGCCCTCTGAGCGTCCCTGTTGCCTGCAGACCAAGGCTTCAACTCACCAGCTCTCTCAGGATATGCTTCAGTGAACCCCACACTCTTCCTCTTGCCTGCTTGTCCACCTTCCATCTCCTTTACGATCTTCAGTGCTCCCCACTCCTAAACTTATAAGTGAAGGCTGACGTCACTTTTTTCACCTGACTGTGTGGGGGTGTGTCAGGGCATCTTGCAGTTTGACTAGATGCCTCCTACCTCTTGGCCTGGAGTGCACCATTCAGTGGTGGAGATGATCAACAAAGGGAAGGGATAAAGCAACACTAAGGAGCATGGAGTATTTGAAATCTGGATATGGCTGCAGCTTGGCAGGTTGGCTTGTGTACCTATAAAAGGCATCCACACATAGCTGTCCAACAGATGTGCACAGGTGCTTTAGATGAGTCTTGCTTAGCTAAAATTCCCATTAATTTAGTCTGGAAGCCACAGTCTTCATTAAAAGTGTATTGCACCTCTCTATTGAACATAGGCTGGTGTGAGTGTGTTTTTCTTCCCATTTTTACAACATTCTCTCTGATTGGTCTGAGAGCACTGAGGCATGCCAATTGCCACGGGAACAGGTTGAGTGGATTCCCTGCCTAACAGTGCATTGGAGGCCCTCTGTGGGTGGCAGCCCAGGACTGAGATAAGGTTCCAGCAATCATGGCTGTCTTTTGTCAGGGCAAATCCCTTCAAATAGCAGAACTACTCAGCCTCAAAAGAAGACACTGCCTATATCACCACCTCCTACCTCTGCCCTTTGAGTTTAATTCATGGCCTCAATAGCCTCACCACATTCCGATTCTGGCTATCCCACTTAGAGGCGGTATGTCCCAGCAGTCCAGCCCTTGTTATTCTGCAGGGCTTTAATATTAATTGTGCAGCTTAAGAACAAATCCAGGCACAAAAGGGCAAGATGGAAGCAAACAGGTCTAGCAGCTGTGTGAATGTGGAGGGCAGAGGTATAGATGTGCGAGTGTGGCTTTCTCAATTAGTCCAGATTTGTGGGCAGTGCTTTCTGGCTATGGAATGAGTTTCAGCAATGGTTTTTATGGACTACTCAGTCAAATTGGTTTTGCTTATGCCTGTTCCTTGACTTGGCTGCCCAGGATATTCCAGTAATATAGGACAAGAGTGTAAAAGATTGTAAAAGAGCTCCCAGTTCTTCAAAAAAGCAAGATTCATTCAAAGGGTCAATATAATTTATGATGAAGTGTTGTATTTCACGATTTATGATGAATGTATTTTCATATTCTATTCTATTCTATTCTATTCTATTCTATTCTATTCTATTCTATTCTATTCTATTCTATTCTATTCTATTCTATTCTATTCTATTCTATTCTATTCCATTCCATAAATGGAAGAGTCTAGATCAGTGGTTCTCAACCTTTTTAATGCCGCGACCCCCAACCGGTCGTAAGTCGAGGACTACTCAACCAGTCATAAGTCGAGGACTACTCAACTGGTGCAGCACCATTTGCAGAATGGGACTTTTGGCGGGCTCAGCAGGGCAGAGACAGCCTGGACAATTCCTATTGGCTTTTGAAAGCAATAGAATTAGACTCTATTCAAGAGAGTCTATTCTATTGGCTTTCAAAAGCCAATAGAATAAAAGGGAATAGCACAGCTAAGGAAAAGGGGGAAAAAATGGCGGACTGCATTGTTTGGCGACCCCGTGAAATGGTCGTTCGACCCCAAATGGGGTCCTGACCCACAGGTTGAGAACCACTGGTCTAGATGTTGTTTCAGTTTCATTTTATGCCTTTATCCCTACCATTGTTTGAATGTGGTGAGTTGCAAAGAGAAAAGATGGGGTATGGGGTGGCTGGGGGAAATTATCACAGCTGTGTCTGTATCTCGTTATGTTCAATGGCCTTCCAGAAGCCAGAAAATAGATTCTAATTTACATGTAGATGGTAAACACAGAAGACTACGCTCATGATCTCTGCATATCTGCTGGCCCTGTTTGGTTGAAAGTGAAAACTATGCACATATAACTGAATGTGCAAGTCCTTTTCTGTCCTTTCTGAATGTGAAATCATGTGCTGAAGTTTGAGTAGAAGTTGTGGTTGCAATCTAGCTTCTTGGATTACAGAGGCATTTGCAGGGTGTCTCAGAACTTGATAATCGCTTCCTTCTTTTTATCATCTACAGTACATCGAATGAATGAGGTCACCCATCAGTTTGGGGTCTAGTATCATCAATAGATGGAGGATGCCCCATTGTATATCTTGAATCTGAGCTGGCCAAGTGATGCTATCAATGTCTTATCTCAGTGTCTGAAGTCTGGGTGAGTCTGGATGGGGAAGAGCAGATGCAAGCTCAATCCTGCCAAGATGGAGTGGCTGTGGATTTTGGGCCCCTTTACCTGGGGATTTTCTGTCTTGAATGGGATTGCACTTCCCCATTCAATACTGGTGCTCATTTTTTTTGGGGGGGGGGAATCTTGGATTCAAAGCTCTTGCTTAAAGATGGAAGCTATGACCAAGAGATCCTTTACACAGCTTTAGTTAATGTGGTAGTTGCACCCATTCCTGGATTGGGAAGCTCTTCAGATGGTCATTCATACTCTAGTTACTTCATTGTTTGATTACTGCAGTGCATTGTACTGTATGTGGGGTTGTTGTTGAAGGCCCTTCAGAAGCTGTAGCTGGCCCAAAATATAGGCAGTGTTGGTTATACTTCAATGTGCCCATGTGACACCAGTTTTCCATGGCTTGCAGAGTTGCTAGTAGAGTTTTGATGCACTTCAAAGTATAAGCTTGTGTAAGGTATAAGCTCTTCATGGCATAAGCCAGGTTACTTGATGATTTCTGTAGGTATGATAAGATTCCCCCAGAAATCCATATTACATTCTGATGATGTTCTGCAAGTTGTTGAAAACCTGGGTGTTCTCCCAAGCCTTGAGGTAGGGTGCTTGTGGAGTCTTATTTGGTTGGCTGTTGTGTAGTCTGTCCAGATGCTGAGGTTTTTTTTTATTGTTTTCCTGTTTTAAGTGTGAACCTCCATAGACATTTTAGAACTGAGCTTCTTTCAAATCAATCAATTAATCAGTCAATCCAATCAGTCAACTAAGCAACCAACCAACCAACCAGTCAAATAGCTCAGGGCTGGCTTCATACCCCAAAGTTAAGGAGATGGATTTTCAGAGGAGAGATAAAATCAGGAATGGCTGCCATTGCATGAATATGACAGATGAGAATTTCTCATTCCAAAAGGTTGGGCTTGAGACTGAGAGCAGATACAGGCTGTGACATCAAAGGATGACCTCAGAGCTGAGGTTCTAGAAGTCAGGTGAACTGCCATCTCTTCATGGGGTACGTTGGCAAGTGTGTCTTGCTGGGCCAATTAAGAACTTTGTTGTGGCCTGGAGAAGTTCGACCTGCTATCAGGCAAAAAATTGGAAAGTTGGAGCCTCACTTTGTCAGCTGTCACTTGGAATCTTCTGGAGCTCTTGACTTGGCACCCATAAAGGATAATACTCTGAATGCTTCTTTCTTTCATTTTACCTGCTATACTAACTTGACATGCAGTCAAATCATTTTGAACTTTGGGACTGAGGTAAGACATGGGCCACTGATAAAATAAGCCTTCCTCAACTCTTCTTCCTCCTCAGAGGGTGATAATTATTGGCTGGTTGCCCTGCATCACAAGCCAGAGGACTTAAGTTGAAATATAAATTGCCTCCTGTAGATCTGCTTAGATCACTTCTGTTGAGCAGCTCTTTCTATCTTTGAGTGTGAGAAGTACCTGTATAGTCAATTAAGTTTGGAAAAACAGTATCTCTCACTGTTTGTCAGAGTTGAGGGCAGATGGGGCCCACAACACCTGGACGGGCATAGGCTGGCATACTTCTGAATGCACATTCACAGAGACTATACAGAGAGTGATTATACAGCCATCCACACCAAAGCGAACTGAAATTATTGTTTATTTATTTGTACCCCCATGATCTTTGTAGATATCAATCATTGAGTGCTGATGGGACATATGATACCTGTTTATAATTGTATTTTCCACATCATAGGCAGAGGGCAGTTTATTTATCCTGAGTTTCTGCCTTACTGTTATCATGTAATACTGTATGTTGTTTCTACCTTATTTCTCTATGGAACTCACTGGGACACCCACCAGGGGCGCGTTCAGTAGCCCATAACATAGTCATCTAATACATACCCAAGTAGACCAATGTATAAATTTGTGCACATTTAAGGTATATCTGAAAGGGGCTAGGGTAGGCCAGCATTTGAATCTGAAAAGTCTCCTACTCAGATCTTGAAGTACATGAGTCAGTTTCTCTTAGCCTTGTACTGAGAGTTGCTCCCTGCAATCCTTTGTTGAGTGACTGTAACTGAGAACACTGCTGATTAGGTCAGGCTTAACAGAACATAGATTCACTGGAGCCCTATGCACTATAGAGCCTTATGTCAGTCTATTAGTTCAAGTTTGGATCTCCACTGTAAATCTTCCACACATTGCTTCTTCTCTTGCTATGTTGCTAGGGGGAATAAATTCTTTTTTTCCTGGGACATCCCTTCATGTATCAGAAAACTGTTATCATGTCTCCCCTCAGCCTTCTCTTCTTTAAGCTAAACATACCAAGTTCTTCACTTACTGTTTGTAGGATTTAGCCTCCAAATCCCCGAACATCATTTTAAAATATTTTTATTAAAACTTTAAAAAATAAAGGTAAAAATTAATGCAAAGTAACATAAAATAAGGAAGAAAAAGAAACAGGAAAAATGCGAAGAGAAAGGAAAAAGGGCAAGGGGGAAAAAAGCTAAAGAAAAATAGAAAAGAAAGAAATAAGATATCAAGAAATGGCTTTCAATACAAGTAGTTCTTGATTTATAACCACAGTTGAGCCTGGAATTTTGGTCGTGGTTGCGGTCATAAGTCGAATCCCCACACATTCAGACTTATTTTTATGATGGTCATTAAGTCAATCACCATGGTCATTAAGCAAATCACATGGTCATAAGTTCAAATCCAGCCTAGCCCGGATCCATCTTAGCCCCAATTCTGGGCATATAATCAGGTATTGAGGACCTTACAAAAGACTAGTAGGATTGGGGCCAACCTAATCTCTGGAGGGAGAAGTTTCCAGAGGACAGTTGCTAAGACAGAGAAGGTGCATCTCCTGCTTCCTGCCACCAGGCATTCCTTGACTGACAGGACCCAGAGCATATTGCCTGACCAGACTGAATGGGTAGAAATAACTGGGAGAAGATGATCTCCAGATAACCCAGTCCCAAGCTTTGAAGGACTTTAAAAATGATAATGAGCTGTACCCAGAAGCACAAGTAATGCAGTGCACATAGTGGTGATGTTACAGTCTGCCAAGTAACTGACACCATTTGCTACCCATGCAGCTGCAGTCTGCACCAATTGAAGCTTCCAAATGTTCTTCAAGGGCTGTCCTGTGTAGACTGTATTGCAGTAGTCCAGATGGGAGGGCATGAGGGCATGACTGACAGTGAGCAGGGCTTCCCAATCCAGGAATGGGTACAATTGGTGCACAATCGAAAGGTGTGCATAAGTACAGCCGCCACCTGTTCTTCCACTATGAGCTGTGAGTCCCAAGTGGACTCCCAGTTTGCACATTGGGTCTGTCTGAGACAGTGCTGCCCCACCCAAAACTAAAGATGGAAACTCCTCAGCATTGGAAGGCCCAAACACTCATGAGCCAGTCTTGCTTAGGTTGAGCTGAAGCCTGCTGCATCCAATTTGGGCCTCTGCAGCCTCCAGACATTGGGACAGGATGTCCATGACATTACTCTGGCAGCCTGGGATATAGATGAAAAGCTAGGTGTCATCAGCATACCGTTGATACCTCATCCCAAACTGTTGGATAACCTCACCTAATGTTCAGTGGCCTCAGGTAGATGTTAAACAGCATTAGTAGTTCTGTCTCCAACTACAGCTTCTTCCTTGCTTTCCCCCAGTGGTTTCTGAAACACTTCTGTAGCTTGTCCCACATGCATACTCTTTCCCAGGCTTCTGAAAACTTTGATGAGTTTTCTTATTCAAAACATTCTGAGTAAATCAGCCTAGAAACTATTCTGGTTGCAAAAGACAGGAGGTGAGCAAGGTTGAGTGCTGTTAATAAGTTTTTTTTAAAAAAATACATAAACCAAGCAAGACTTGAGCCTCTTTTCTATATATGTGTCTCTTAAATAAATACTTTGAAGTATTTCCTGAGCTGACCACTCTTTCCACAATGCACAAGTCAGCTCTGGACATTTGGCAATGCCGTCTGCACTTCCATTTTGTGTGCCTCTGCACTGCACTCTTGCTTCCTGATGTACAAAAACAACTCTCCCTATCAAAGTGCAACCTTCTCATCAACAGTTTGCCTCTAGATGTTTCTCTTTTCTTTGTAGATCTGCCGGCCTGGGGGAAAAAAACCCCTCCCATTTTCAGGGTACCAGAGATAACAGAAGCACATTGTTGAGGAGCAATGAAAGGTCTCTGCCTGTGGTTAGCTCTGTTGACCTGCCTCATGGTGAAAGTCTATGGCAAGATCTTCAATCGCTGTGATCTGGCATCAATATTGCAACGCTGGGGGTTGGATGGGCATGAGGGCTACAGTCTGGATAACTGTGAGTAGCCTCCTGACTGTTCTTTTTTAAAATAATGATCACAGCTTTCTATCTGAAAGAGTGGCAAGAAAGAAAGAAAGAAAAAGAAAGAAAGAAAGAAAGAGAAAGAACACATTGGTTTTGCTGAACGTGCTCATAGCACAAATTTTAGAACAGACTGTAGAAAAACTGAAGCAGGAATATAAATGGCTCTGAATCCTGCATTCTTCCAGTGCTGTTCAGGTGCTGTGTTTGATTCTGGAACTTTTTCATGCGCCCACACTGTGCAGGAGTCAGCTAGTGGAAGGCTTATTTATATAGAGCTGCCTCGGCGATAGAGGTGATAGAGGTTTAACAATAAATTTAATTTTTTTTTCATAAAAAATAAAATGTTGTAAAGAATTGGTTGGGGCACCTTCAGTACCTTTTGCCAATGAGCAGTGGAAGTATGGAGGATCAACACTTTAGGGTGTTTCACATCAGCTATCCCTTCTTAAACTATTCACATGAAATTCTTATAACCCAGCTGGCTTAGATATTTAGGTGAGAAACTATAGGTAATATGCCTCCCCTCCACCCGCAAACTAATTGCTAGTGGTCTTGATATTTTAGCAACAGTGGAAATAATCTACTGGGATTTGATGTAACTATGAACCAAATTGTTAGTGTTCTGGACCAGCCCTGAACACTTGGCAAGCCTCTTTCTAGCCTCAAGATTACATTAGCTATGCATCTAATAACACCTATTATGTCCCTGAGGAAAGCTGATTGGACCCATTCACAGATTGTCGGATGTAAAGGTAGATCCAATTATATTCCATACATCCTTTGTGCTATTGGTTTGGCTTGAAATAATTTAATTGTTGCCAGACCAAATTTCCCTCCTTTTATTCTATAACATTTTGGGCTGGCTGTGGCCCTGTTGTATGCCTTTGAGGCAGCATAATTAATTTGAGCCTTTAATTAAAGTAGCCCCACAGTGAGATAGGCAGCAAATAAATCTAACACATAAATAAATAATAAAATTCCTTATTGTTTTAAAAATAACCTCTATATACTTATACTGATTTACCTCTTTGTTTATATATTTATTAACTGTTCATTTGTGCATGCAGCTGCTATTGGAAAAAATTTTTGTTTTTGTATAATTTATGATCAGTTATTTATTTTTATAGATATAGTATATAGACTTGACTTCCATACTTGTAATAGCCACTAATGGAACTACGGGTCGAAATAGCCATCTTGTCCAACCTGCTTACCCAAAATGAAAAGGAACATGACCTGTCTGACACTAGTGACAAAGTTGGATGTATTATGTTATGCTGAAGCTGATAAAGGATCCTCAGACCTAGGACAGTCTTTAACTTAGATGCAACAGATTGAAGAATGCTAATAACATTTATAATAATAATAATACTAATAATAATAAAGTTGGCCTGGATTACATGGATATGTGGATTAGAAATAACAATAGCTTTACAGCTCTTTACAGAATCAGCATATTGCCCCCAACAATCTGGGTCCTCATTTTATTGACCTCAGAAGGATGGAAGGCTGAGTCAACCTTGAGCTGGTCAGTGGGCATTCTAACCACTGCATTTTAACCACTATGCCACCACAGCTCTTGAAATCCAGCTGGAGAAAAGATGGAGAACATGCTTTTACTATTCAAAGAACACAAGACAAACAATAAAACATGTCTGAGCAACATAATGCTTAAGGCTCCAAACATTTATGAGTATAAATGTTTGAGTATCTGCAAATATTCAACACCCTGCCATCCAACCTTCCATTTTCCACTAGTTTAGTGTCTCACGCAGGATCTCTCTCTGCAAATTTTTCATTCCATGTCTTAACATAGTTATTTTGAAATAATATACAGTTCATATTTGTCAAATTGATAACCAGCTAGTTTATTTTCTTCTCAATATTAAAACCTGTTTTATTCATCAGTTTTATTTGATCTTCTACATTCATGTTTTTTTGTTAATATCTTTGTCTTCTGTTGTTGACCTTGAAGCCTGCTAATGTACCAAATTGTTTTAGTTTTCCCATTAATATTTTTAAAGGATCTTCCAAACCAACATCAAAGTCAACTGCAAAAGCCCTGAACTTCTAAGTTTCTTTTTAAATTTTTATTCCCACAATTCTCTCCTCTTGTCTTAAATCTCTATTCAGTATTTTAAGAACCTAAATAAAACAAGAGAAAAGATAGTGGGCAATCCCTATCTTGTTCCATTATCTCTGTTTTGTTAGATCTCCATTAGCAATTATTTGCTCCTTCTGTGAATTAAAATTTGATCTTAGCCATTTAATAAAGTTATCTTCATAGTTCATATCTTCCAAAATTTTGAGCAAGAACCAACCATTTCAAATTATCAAAGCCCTTCTCTGCATCTAAGAAAATCAACACGGCTTATTTTTCATTAGATTGTTGTAAACTCAAAAATTTTAGTTCATTTTTATTTTAATTTCTTTTACTGTTAGCCTAATTATAGTTGTAAAAAATTAATTTGATGAGAAATACTTCTCTGGAAATTTCTTTAATTCTTATTTTCTTTTTATCTCTTCCAAAACAGCTTGTCTTTCCTGTTTGCCTCTTCTTTTTGTGTCACAATTATATTGTATGAAATAACTTTTGATTTTAATTTCTTTTTACAATCCTCCACTATTGCTTCTTTCTGTAACATTTCACTTAGTCTCCATCTAAATAATTGGATTTCCTTTCATAAATCAAACTCGTAGGATTATGATCTGAAAAAGCCTTTGGTAATATCTCTATTTCAGAAATCTTTGTAGCCAAATTCTTTGAAGTTCAAATCATGTCTATTCTCAAAAAGGATCTATGTCTTTCAGAAATTTAGATGTACTATCCCAAATTACCATTTTTGGGGATCCATATATCAACCAGCCCTAAACTGTCTATCAAATAAAAAAAATGTTATTTGCTTTGGTGATTTTAATTTTTCTTTCAGACATTCCATCAAGCTGTGGGGAAATCTCTCCATTCCAATCCCCCATTAAATACCAATTTTCATAAGAGAAACCTATTGATCTCTCCATAGGTTCTTTATAGTAGAAGTCCTCAACCTTTTGGGCACCAGGGACCGGTTCCATGGAGAGAGGTTTTTCCACAGACCAGAGAGTGCGTGGTTTTGTGTGTTGTCTATATCCCATGGATGGGGCTTTGCTTGTTTGTGCGGACCGGTTGCTGGCATGCCGCAGCCCATACTGGTCCATGGACCGGGGATTGGGGACTCCTGCCTTATAGAACAGTGATTTATTCTCATTTAGAACATAGATTACCAGTATCAAAGTCTTAGTCTCATGCAAATTAGCTTACGATCCAAAAAATCTTCCCTGGATAACAGTCAATGAAAGTTTTGATTTTAGTTGGGTCTTTATACACAAGACAACTCCATTTCTTTTTTTAGCTGTTGCTGAGATAAATTCTTCACCCAAATATTTATAAATCAAATATTTTATTTCTTTTTTTCTAATATGTGTCTCTTGTAGGCAAATTACATCTTGTTTTATTTTTCAAATAATGTTTTTTCCCCCTCTCTTGAGAAGCATTGGCTTCATCTATATTCCATGTTAAGCATTTGTATTCTACTTGTATTTACTAAAAAAAACCAACAACCTTGTAAAATGAATAATTATTGCAGAATACCAAATTCTCTCCTGTGCGTGAGATTATTTTGCATTTAACTTGAGAAAATGAAGACTATGCAGGTAGTCCTGGACTTATGCCCACAATAGCGCCCCAAAATTCTGTTGCTAAGTGAGACATTTGTCAAGGGAGTTTTGCCCCATTTTTATGACCTTCCTTTCCACAGTTGTTAAGTGAATCAGTGCAGTTGTTATTAAGACAGTTGTGAAGTGCACCTGGCTTCCCCATTGACTTTGCTTGTCAGAAGATCGCAAAAGGGGGATCACACGACTCCGGGATATTGCGACAGTCATAAATACGAGTCATTTGCCAAGCGTCTGAATTTGGATCATGTGATCATGGGGATGCTGCAACGGTTGTGTGAAAAACAGTCATAAGGCACTGTTTTCAGTGCTGTTGTAAATCTGAACGGTCGCTAAATGAACTGTTGTAAGTCGAGGACCACCTGTATCCCACTAATCTTTAAGTTCCTTTCCACACTGATCTTCCAGGAGTAATTTCTGTATTCTACAAGTGTACAAGCAGGCCATGTATCTTCACATATATGCCGCCAGCTACCCAGTGTGCCATTGCGATTCAAGCCTTAGGACAGGGGTAGGCAACCTTGGCTCTTTTATGACTCGTGGACTTCAACTCCCAGAATTCCTGAGCCAGCTCAGGAATTCTGGGAGTTGAAGTCCACGAGTCATAAAAGAGCCAAGGTTGCCTACCCCTGCCTTAGGCAAACTGGATTCATCATGTACTGCTAATAATCTGTCTGTAAAACAATGGTCTTATTTCTGGCATGATTTCTTATTTCTTACCTGCTTCTTTTCTGAACCAAACTTCCACACGGATGTGAATCTGTACATCACTTTCTCCCTCCAGGGGTCTGCTTGGCATATTATGCGAGTGGTTTCAACACAGCTAAGGTAACTCAGAACTCTGATGGTACTTCTGAATATGGCATTTTCCAGATCAACAGTCGCTCCTGGTGTGCTGATCACCACAGCACTTCGAGGAACCTCTGCAGCTTATCTTGTCGTGGTAAGTGGTTTTTTTTTTCTAAAATATTCCTGTTAAAGTCCAGAGAGAATGTTGGATCTGGGTCTGGATTTCTTTTAATTTCTCATTTTTGTTAACGTGCTAAAGCTTTTTATTAAAAGAGAATGATAGGTAACTCAGGATTAAACTGTGCAGTCCTTGGTGCTCTCTGAGCTTGGTTGTTTTCTTGCAGATGTTTAATTACTGTACCTGACAAAAGACCCAGTAGCCTGAGAAGAAAAAACAGGACTCATCTACAACATACAGTGTAAGGACTGGAGCAGCCACTATATACTGTATGATAGACAGGCAGAAGATTAGCAGAGAGCATCCAGGAACACCAACTAGCAGGCAGAGGACATGATGAAAATTCCTTAATTTCACAAAACACGGACAGATTCAACTGTAGTTTCAGCTGGGAAACTATGAGCACCCTACACCAAGCCAAATCTAAAAATGCTAGCAATTTCCTGAAAGCTTGGAATTCAGATAAATCAGCCATCAACAGACACATAGAGATAAACCACATTTATTCATCATTCAAAAAAGACAATAGCAATAGCATATACTGCTCTATAGTGTTTTACAACAGGGGTCCCCAATCCCCATTCCATGGCCCAATAACAGACTGCAGCCAGTTGGGAACCAGACCGTGCAAGCTCCATTTTTGTTAGTGTCGGACACGCATACAAAATCATCCCTTCTCCTCCCATCCCTGCTGCTGCTGGTCCACAAAACTGGAAAGGTTGAGGGCTACTGCTTTACAGCACTCTCTGAATGGTGTACAATGTCAACGTATTGCCCCCCCCCAACAATCTGGGTCTTCATTTTAGTGACCTCAGAAGGCTGGAAGGCTGAGTCAACCTTAAGCCAATCAGGATCGAACTCCTGGGCTGTGGGCAGAGTTAGACTGCTATACTGCATTCTAACCAGTAGTTCACCACAGCTCCAGTAAAAAAAGCTAAGAGAGAAACAGATCAGAACACATTCTCTCTGGTAGCCAATAACACTGGCAGGGCAAGCTACTGTGTATAAACAGAGAACAACTCCACATTCACTAACATTAATGGTGTTATCTAGTCAGATAATAAAATGGCTATAAGCAAACAACGAAGCTCAGAGAGCACCAAGACACTCCACAGCTATTCATTGAACATTTTTGCTTTTCACAAATGTTGCATGTTATTTCCCATGCACATTACTTTCAGCCTATGTATTTTGTACAATTTTCAATATAAACTATCTTTCTTCACACACACACACACACACACACACACACACACACACACAGAGAGAGAGAGAGAGAGAGAGAGAGAGACAGAGACAGACAGACAGACAGACAGACAACCTGGATTATAAACTTTAGAAATATGCAAATGAACATGTAAATTGTATAGTAGTTGGAAGTCATAAAACTGGAAAATCATGCCTTCAAATCTCAAAATCAACTAATTTCTCCTCCATTCCTAGGTGGAAGTAGTGAGCTTATAAACAGGATGAACAAATCAGTGACAGACATGCAATTGCTTAGATTCCTTATGTACACAAATCAAACATCCTACATTCATGGATTTAGCACACTTTTTAAACTGCTAGGTTTTTTTTTAGTGCTAAATCTATATTTTAAAAATAGCACTAGGGCTGTAGTCCTGTGCTACTGAAAAATCCATTTAAACTGGGAAAGAGATTCATGTTTTACCAGCTGGGTGCTATTGGTTCTGTCATTTATGAATCCACCTCAGGTTTCCAACTGCAAGGGGTTAATGTGGCCATATTCTTCCTTTTTAAGGGGGAGAAAGTTGTACCATTTTGCCTATCCCACAGGTTACCCACTAGTGTTGCCCATCATGGCCATTCCCTATCAGCCGAGGCAGAGGGTGAGGCAGGAAGAAACTTCATGCATGTTTTTTGTTTAAACAAAAGAGATGTACTTTGAGACTTGCAAGACTGATGTCAGCCTTTTGAGATAGTCCAGACAGGAAGCATCAGCCAAGAGTACTAACACCATCTTCACTGTAAATTCAAGTAAGAGAAACTTCCAAGTCTGAAAGCAGATCTTTTTTCCAGCCTTATCGATGTCCCTTACCTATCTAGGTATATATGGTTAAGCTTCAAAGTTTATTATTTCTCAAGTTCCTAAGTAGCTATTTTAGGGAACAGGATGTTTCACTTGTCCTGACCGAATGTTTCATTCTATTGTAATTGTCATCTAATTAAAGAAGGTGTGCATTTTAATTTTGTATTGCCCATCATGGGCAATCTCCAGTTTAAGGGCATCTCCCTTAGTGGAGAAGGTTTGGATTTTAACCTCCTAAAAAGCAAAGATTGACTAGATCAGTAACAAGAGTTGTCAGGTTGAGTTGTTAGGTCTGTTGGCTGTTTGCAAGGCAATAATAATAATAATAATAATAATAATAATAATAATAATAAAGTTGGAAGGGACCTTGGAGGTCATCAAGTCCAATTCCCTGCTCAGGCAGGTAACCCTATACCATTTCGGACAAATGGCTGTCCAATTTCTTCTTAAAAACTTCCAGTGTTGGACCATTCACCGCTTCTGGAGGCAGGTTGTCCCACTGGTTAATTGTTCTAACTGTCAGGAAGTTTCCCCTTAGTTCTAGGTTGCTTCTCTCCTTGATTAGTTTCCATCTGTTGCTTCTTGTCCTGCCTTCAGGTGCTTTGGAAAATAGCTTGACTCCCTCTTCTTTGTGGCAGCCCCTGAGATATTGGAATGCTGCTATCATGTCCTCCCTCATTTAAATGTCTCCCATTCTATTCCATGCCATAATTATTTCCCGTTTGCTCACTAGATTTGGTGACTGATGAAATCATCGATGATATAATTTGTGTCAAGAGAGCTGTAGCAGGTCCAGAAGGTTTGGAAGCCTGGTAAGGGATTAAATTTATCTTTCATCAGCCTTGATTTTCTCCTTCACCCAGCTCTACAGTCACACATTGTTCTGATCCAGAGTTAAGTTGCTTTGTAAAACTGGGTCAGACAGATAAACTCAAAAGAAATGATTGCAAAACAGATATATATTTATTCAGAGAAATACTTGCATTTATGATGTTTGCTTCTGGATATTACACTTCTGTTCATTCCTATAGGTGAGAAATTAATACTTTCTCCATACCACTTCTATAACTTGGATTAGAGTCATCGGAGACGTGCGATGACCCCATGCTTTCTCTTAGACAAAGACATTCCAAACTGGCTCGTGTCCAGGAAGTCTTGCAATGCTCTTTAGAAACTCCTCCCACTAATCTACTAACATGATATAGTTGACTAGCTAAACTACATTACCTATAAGCCATCTCTTAAGGAGACAGCAGTTAACCCAATAAATGTTAGATATTCTAACATACAGACCTACATGGTCCAGAACACTCCCTGCTTGGAAATTTGAATTTCCACTACTAACTAACTGAAATAAGCAAAAAACATAACATTAAAGCATGCAATTCTCTTTGTTATCTAACTTGTGACTAAATAGGTAAAAACATGGTATCAAACATGCATAACTATAAGGTAAATATAAAGACATGCACAATTATAACAGAAATAAGAAGGTGTGACATCAAACAATGCATAAACACAATACATAGTTTGGGATTTGATCTTCTAGTTCAATCTTCATCAGCAATGGGACCAAATCGGTGATCAGCCTGGTAGAAGAGTCTGTGAGTCACGACCTGACTCACGTGGCTTGGCGATCTGGACCTCAGCTTGGCAAACTAGTTCATTAACTGGGTGGGGCCCGATGCACAAGTCCTATGGGCCAATAATTCTGGTATGCATTCTTGTCTCTCAGCGAGACAAGATCTTCTTCCTGTAAAGGAAACTGGAACCAAATCTGGAACAGAAAAACTGGAACCCAAAATTTCTCAGGAACAAAGGAAACTGGATTCACAGGATACTCAGGAACCAAAGAATCTGGAACCATAGGAAACTCAGAAACAGCAGTAGCTGGAAAATCAGGAACATCAGCAGGAGCTGGAAAATCAGGAACAACAGGAGCAGAAGACTCAGGAACATCAGCAGGAGCTGAAGAATCAGGAGCATCAGCAGGAGGTGAAGAATCAGGAACATTGGCAGGAGCTGGAAAGTCAGGAACAGCAGGAGCTGGAGACTCAGGATACTCAGGAACCGAAGGGTCTGGAACCACCGATGGAACATTGAAGATGGCTGCTACTGTTGTCATCAGGGTAGTGAGGACTTCATGTATGGGCGTGGGTGTCTTTGACGACATAGAGTCCATGATTTTGAGGGGTGCACCAATCATGCGCTCCCATGCTTCGCCCATGTGAGATGCACGGGGAAGGCAATTTTTGGCCTTCAGACATTTGTCAATCACTGGATCATGGCAAATATCTTCAATAGTCTGTAAGTCCTTGCAGACTCCTACAAGGTTAATTCTTGGGATGCTAAGACAAACTATGCCTAATCTCAGGTGCTTCCGCTTAGAGAGGGGTTTGAAGCAGTTTGGTTGAAGTTTACTGGGTGCCTGAGGTTGAACGGTGGCACGTTGATCTGGAGCTGGAAGAATATAGCGTTGTGGTCTCTATAGCAACTGTCTGTTTGGACAGGCCAAGAACTCAGGACTTTCTATATAGCCAGATCAATTTTGTTAACTTTGTGGCAAGGTTGGGCCACTCAACTTGGTTCACAAGGTTCTTATCTGTTGGCACATGTTGCCATTGTTCAAGGCTTAAAGATGTTTCAATCTTTTTTACTTTGTTGCCTAAATGGACGTAGAAGTGTCTGCTTTGTTTGCAGATGTAGCTTGACATCAGCTTGCTGTCTGCATAGAAGGTGGTAGACTGTAGTTCAAGGCACAACGTCTTCACTGTCAAGTTGGTGAGCTTTACAGCTAAAGTGGTACCACATAGTTCTAACCTTGGTATGGTGTGGCCTTGTTGTATTGTTAGTCTCGCTTTTCCAAAGAAGACACTGAGACTGCAACTCTCCCCGCTGTAGACTCTGATGTATCTTATGGTTGCAATCAAGACGATGTAAATGTGGCTCTCCCCGCTATAGACTGTGACACTTCTTAAGGCTGCATTTGGCTTCGTTGATACATCTGAGGAAGTGTACAATTCTTTCCTTTGTACGGTGGCGAGTGAGCTGGAGACATATGTGCGCTGCACTTGCATACTCTGGAGACATCTTGGGAGTACACTCCATGACTCCCAGTCTTGTTTCTGTTCTGGTAGACGCGGCTCATCCCAGTGTGTGGTGCTCACGGAGAACGCGCATAGCTGCAGACATTGTTTGTCCTCTATGAACAAGGCTAAGTTGTTGTAATTCTTACCAGTCTGGAACACTGTTGCTTCCAAAACAGATTTGGTTGTCACAAGCATGCAGTGTTCTAGGTGTGGTTTTAGGTGAGGTGCTGTTCCATTACTGGGAATGGAGGTTTTTGAGATGCTCACCTGGGTTGGGGTTTGCGGCTGATCAGCACAAACTGTCCCTCCTATGGCCCATCCGAGTTCTGTCTTAATGGTTCCTGGGGTTCCTGGTGGACCTTTGATTCTTTCATCGGAGCCAATGGACTCTGGGGTGTCTCTTCCCACCATGAGTAGGATTTCAGCTTAAGGATCTAAAGGAGGGATTAAATCGGCTATGTGCGCTAAGTGAGGTATTTTTCTTGCTGCCTCTGGTGTTGAAATTTCACTGTGAACGTCTGGTAGGATCTCCCATTCTAACACTGATGGCAACAGGAAATGTGAACTTCCGTCTATCGATTCTATGCGAAGACCTGTGATTTTCCTCCCCGCAGTTCACATTAATACTGTGCACGTATTTATTGCGAAATGCTTTAGTTCACTCAGGAGGTTGAAGAGGTCGAAAAAGGCAGGTTTAGCTATAGTAACTTTGCTGTGGGGTCTAGTATGGTGTACATCTTCACGGCCCTTTCAGGTTGCCCGTCAGGGTAGACTTTTGCAAGACAGATGGGTGAGCATGAAGGAGGGCATGGTGAGTCGCCACATATATCTGTGTAGTACGTCCCATACGTTTTTGGTTGCTCTTTGGAGTCACTTTGAATCTCCGTCGTCGAAGTCGCTTGTTGTGTCTCCTCAGAGGGCTTCTTAGTTTCTAGATGTAAGGCTGCTGGGTGCTTGTCACTGTCACATAGGTGGCATTTCACCCTAGCTGTGCAATCTTTGGCCATGTGGCCTATAGAGTCACAGCATTTGAAGCATATCCTATGCTTTCAGTCTTCCAGGGATTTTTTCCCAAACTCTCTGCAATTGTTTAGAGAGTGTGAAGATTTATGAATTGGACATCAGACTTTTTCTAGGTGGGCGAGGATTCGAATGAGTATTCCTCGGTATTTGTTTGTCTGAAGTCTTCCTTGGGCGAGATGTGATCTCTGTTTTGTAATTTTTCACTGTTCTGATCCAGAGTTAAGTTGCTTTGTAAAACCGGATCAGACAGATAAACTCAATAGAAATGATTGCAAAACAGATATATATTTATTCAGAGAAATACTTGCATTTATGATGGTTGCTTCTGGATATTACATGTCTGTTCATTCCTAGAGGTGAGAAATTAATACTTTCTCCGTACCACTTCTATAACTTGGATTAGAGCCATTGGAGACGTGCGATGACCCCATGCTTTCTCTTAGACAAAGACATTCCAAACTGGCTCATGTCCAGGAAGTCCTGCAATGCCCTCTAGAAACTCCTCCCACTAACCTACTAACATGATATAGCTGACTAACTAAACTACATTACCCATAAGCCATCTCTTAAGGAGACAGCACTTAACCCAATAAATGCCAGATATTCTAACATATAGACCTACGTGGTCCAGAACACACATCAAATACAATTTGAGCTTTTCTCTATTTGCACCCAATTCTGACTCAAACTTGGCTCTCCAATATCTTTTTCTGCTGAGTCCTCATCATAATGTCTTCATCTTGTCCTCAGACTATGACAAAGAGAGAGGGAGAGAGATAGGGTGGAAGGGAGGGAGGGAGGGAGAGGGAGAGCACAGAGAGAGGGGGAGGAGAGGGAGAGGGAGGGGGAGAAAATGGGGAGGGAGATGGAGAGAGGAAAAGGGAGAGAGGGAGAGGGAGAGATGGGGAAGAGGGAGAGAGGGTTAGAGGGAGAGGGGGGAAGAGAGAGAGGGGGAAGAGGGAGAGGGAGGGGGAAGAGGGAGAGGGAAAGGGGGAAGAGGGAGAGGAAGAGAGAAAGGGGGGTTTCTTTCAAAGGAAAGTCAGGGGGCAGGCATTGATTTGAAACACAACCAGGAGAGGGATTCATAGTGGGGACAAAATATTTCATGCTGGAATAGTTCTCTGTTGACCCAGAGATTGGTGGGGAGCACTCTTAATTTTATGCAATATGGAAGAAAGTGCATATGCTACTTTACAGCTGTCTACTTCTGTTGTCATCTCACTGCCTTATTTTTTATTTATAATAGCTGTATTTTCTTTTCCCTTTTCTTAATTTTGTCCTCTAGGGATGGTTGGCGAAATCATTGCCGTGGAAAAAACCTGCATTACTGGACAGCTACCTGTAAACTGTGAATTGATTGTGCCACCAACAGAATTTATCATCTGCTAATCAGCTTCTTTATCTGCTTGTGCTCTTCAATTGTGATCACAGAGTACAATCTGATCAAAGGCATTTTACAGAATAAAGATTCTTTTTGAGATAATAAGTTTCATGTGTTTGTTTGACCAAGGATGGCTTTGGCAAAAGGTGGTGATGTTGGTGGTGGTGATAATGGTGGTGGTGGTGAAGTGTTGGATCAAAACTTAGGATGCCAGACTTTTTAAATTTCTTTCCCCAAAACTTTCTGGAACATCAAGATCTGCATCCCAACTTTGGATTAGTGACAGAGTTGCAACCACTACCTGTTTTCCAGTGGCACCTCATCTGGCACCCTTCCCCTAATCCCAGTATGTGAGAGACATAAGGTTCTCACTACCAGCACTGCCTTTTGTAGTAATAAAAAGGTTAAAATGGAGAAAAAGAGAAAGAATTCATATGATGCAACCTCCTTACCTTGTAGCATAGATGCACGAAGCTAGGATTTCATCTCTCCCTATTATTTGAGAGGTAGATTAATCTCATAAGAGATCAACAAAATCAAATTTTGTTTCAAAAAGATTGTGTAGGATATACAGTGCATTGAGAAAGTATTCAGACCCCCTTCACTTTTGTCAATTTTGTTATGCTGCAACCTGATTCTACAGTTGTTGAAATTCATTTTTTTCTCATTAATCTAGAATCAATACCCCATAATGACAAAGTGAAAACAAAATTTTAGAAATGTCTGTAAATTTATTAAAAAGAAAAAACTGAACTATCACATTGGCATAAGTATTCAGACCCTTTGCAACAACACTTGAAATTTAGCTCTGGTGCCTCCCATTTCTCTTGATCGTTGTTGACATGTTTCTACACCTTGATTGGAGTCCACCTGTGGTAAATTAAATTGCTTGGACATGATTTGGAAAGGCACATACCTCTCTATAGCAGGCCTCACAACTGACAATGCAAACTGTAACAAAGCAAAAGCCATGAGGTCAAAGGAACTGCCTGCAGGGCTCGGAGACAGGATTATTGCAAGGCAAAGATCTGGGGAAGACTACAATAAAATTTCTGCTGCACAGAAGGTTCTCAAAAACACAGTGGCCTCCATAATTCTCAAATGGAAGAAGTTTGGCACAATCAGGTCTCTTCCAAGAGGAAGAGTCCTTAGTAAGAGAGGTGACCAAGAACCCGATGGTCACTGAGCTCCAGAGATCCTGTGTGGAGATGGGACAGAGTTCCCAGCCATCACTGCAGCCTCCATCGATTTGGGCTGTATGACAGAGTGGCTGGACAGAAGCCTCTTCTCAGTGCAATACACATGAAAGCACACTTGGAGTTTGCAAAAAAGCACCTGAAGGACTCTCAGACTATGAGGAACAAGATTCTCTGGTCTGATGAAACCAAGATTGAACTATTTGGCCTCAATTCTCAACGTTATGTCTGGAGAAAACCAGGCACTGCTCATCACCTGCCCAATACCATCCGAACAGTGAAACATGGTGGCAACATCATACTGTGGGAGTGTTTTTCAGCAGCAGAGACCGGGAGAGTGGTCAAGGTTGAGGGAAAGCTGAATGGAGCAAAGAACAGGGATATCCTCAATGAAAACCTGTTCCACAGCACTCAGGACCTCACACTGGGCCAAAGGTTCATTTTTCAACAGGACAGTGATCCCAAGCACACAGCCAAGACAATCCAGGAGTGGCTTAGGGACAACTTTGTGACTGTCCTAGAGTGGCTCACCCAGAGCCCTGACTTGAATCTTATTGAACGTCTCTGGAGGGAGTTGAAAATGTCTGTCCAATGATGATTGCCATCCAACCTGACTGAGCTTGAGAGGATTTGCAAGGAAAAATGGCAGAAAATCCTTCAATCCAGGTGTGCAAAGCTTGTTGCATCATACCCAAAAAGACCCAAGGTTGTAATTGCTGCCAAAGGTGCTTCAACAAAGCACTGAGTGAAGGGTCTGAATACTTACGTCAATGTGGTATTTCTGTTTTTTCTTTTTAATAAATTTACAGATATTTCTAAAATTCTGTTTTCACTTTATCATTATCGGATACTGAGTGTAGATTAATGAGAAAAAAATGAATTTCCACAACTGTAGTATCAGGCTGCAGCATAACAAAATTGACAAAAGTGAAGGGGGGTCTGAGTACCTTTTGAATGTACTACACACATAAAAGAAACTTATGAAAATACATGCAATGTTCTAGGCAGACCACAAGATGGTGCTAAGGGCTAAGAAATGACACCTAAATTATGCTTCCATTTAAAAGAGAAAAATAAGCTTCAGCCCAGTTTTTGATAGCAGTAAGAAAGTTCCGGTCAGACAGAATAATAAGGCAAGAAGCGTATTTGTATCTTTGTGAATTTATAGTTTAAAAAGAACCATTAAGCAATGAAAGCTTGCCTTTTCTGACCAGAAGCGGAGCAGAAATACCGCATATAAAAAAGTATATACTAATAGCATTTCCTTATGTTTCTCACTACACCATGGTGCCACCCCCACACCCAATTCCAACCTTTTAACTCCTGAAATGCCCACAATTCTGTATGATAGCTGCAGTGGGATGCTGGGAGATGGGAGGCAGCCTGGGCCAGGAATTCTCTTCAATAGATAACCCTTGAAACACAAACGCAAATAATAGCCAGCCATTGGTGTAGCAGCGTTTCCTACCTTGAAACAATACATCTATAATACTACTAATGCAAAAATCTATCACAATTGTTCATAACTCCATGTCTCCCCCTCTTCACTGTAACAGTGTTATGGCATCCCATGATCAATGGAAGGGGCAGTTACTCATCCAAAACCTGGGACTGTCTGTATTTGGAAAATCATCCTGCCTTGGTCTTCCAAGAGATGCAGCCTTTGAAAACCTGCCATAATTCCTTGTCTGTTTTAAGAAATGTTTAGGGAGCTTCCTTACAAAAGGTAGAAATTATTTTTTCACCACCTTTAGAGGATTTCCTCCCCTTTGCTGCCATTAGTATGTTCTGAAAGTCTATTACGTAGCTACTGCTGCATTGCCAGCTTTTGACTATGCTCAGTTTCTTTACCCCCTCCCCCCAAGTTCAATAAAGTGACAGAATACTTGACAAAAAGTGCCAGACATTGAGAATCTCCTTTGCTGTCTCAGTTTTTGGGGATTGACTTTGCAGTAAAATGATACTGAGAAAGTGGTAGATGGATTCATTTCTCTCCTACCATACCAATTTCTCTCCTATTTATTGGCGAAGCAACATTAGAAACTGAAAAGAAGGTGGAACAAGAAGATGGTTTTGTCAATGAAGGGAGTCATGCAATACTCCGTGAAAACAATGTGTGCTCTAAGATCCATTTACAGAAAGTGAATGGCATGAGTGGAAGGAGTAAAATAATGGGGAAATCCACCAATCAGGTACCATAGTAAGAGTGGTCCAAGCAGAACAGATGATTATAATCTTATTGCCTCTCCTCCTTCTTAGATGTTATTCAATCCCTCATTTGATTCCTGTCTTTCTTAATCTTCAAACCTATAAATTCTTGTTTCTTTTTTCTTTTAGCAAAATGTCCACATAAGGTTCAGAAAAGTATTGGGTTTTTTTCCCTCTCTCTGACCCTTTCTGTGATTGCTGACATTTTCACCATCCATTCTCTCACTATGGGGGTTTCCTATTCTTTCACCATTGTGCATTCCTAAGGGAGCATTTTTTTTTTTGCAAAATATTTAGCAGCACCAGATTGCACCCTGCAGAATGTTACCTGTCCCTTTGCAGCCTGCAGAGAGCAAGCAGCCTGGTTTATATCAAAGCCTGCAGCAGCGCATGGCCTTGGATGAAATGAACTCCCAGACAATTGCTGCAGTTCTAGAATTTCCCAGATGTTCTCAAGAGGAGAAGAGGGCTGGTATCCCACGGCAGCTACAGCTTCTATGACAAAGCAAGGGTGACTGTGGTCCCTCCAGTTTCAATGCCCCCTATTGACCTCTCTTCTTACAGATGGTGAGCTTGTTGGGTTGATTGGGGGGATTGGATGAGACCCCCCACAAGTACCTGAGTTGCAGTATCATGTGCTGCCTCATTGAAAGGAAAGAGGCTAATAAAGGAGTGTGGGGGGGAAATATATCCATCTGATATGCCTTAATAGTTCCTAACAGATGCTCTTAACATCACTGGTTGTAGGGGGCAACTTCACACTGATGGTTCAAACATCAACATCATACTACCAATTCTGGGCTCCGTTTCTCTCCTGGAGCATTTTACAGGATATTTTTGTTGGGATGAGGGACTTCACCAGTTAAGCAGCTTCAGTGGCTATAGAAACTGGAAATTAATTCACTTGACTCCCAACCTTTAAAAATAATTACATATTAAATAATTTCCTACATTTAAAGCTCTTGGGTTTTTTTTTGTTTGTTTCGCTTTGCTGTGTCTTCTGATCACTATTCTTGTGACTGGTGCTTCTAGTTGGGGGCAAATATTATTCTCAAAAAAGTCATTGCAGATGGTTTTTCCCACAGCCTCAAGGCATTGTCACACTTAAAAAGTGTAGCCATCAAGCTCAAGAAAATACCAGCCAATGTACAGTAAAAGCTCTTCTCTTCTGGAGCTAAATGAATCAGTTGCTAAACGAGGATCACTTGTACTTTACAGCAATACATATAGGATTATCTATATCTATATCTATATCTACCAATAATATCAGTAAAAACATGATTCCTGGGTATATTTATATCACAAAGATTTAAACAAAACATGAGCACCAGGAAGAATTCAATACTAGAAAAAATTTAAGAAATACAGAGCTTTCGTTGGAAACTACCAACATTGTCAGGGTTGAGTGTTAGTCAATGTGAGAAACCTATATAAGATTAATCAGCGCTTGCATCCGGCTCCTGGACCTTGTTACCGGTCCCAGCTGATTGGGCTGTATTCTGAAAGTATCCACAGCACCAATATCCACCCTCTTCCTGCTTCCCTTTCTTGCACATGCACATGGGCAGTGATGCATGTGCAAGAAAGGGAAGCAGGAAGAGGGTGGATATTGGTGCTGTGGATACTTTCAGAATACAGCCCAATCAGCTGGGACCGGCTGGATGCAAGCGCTGATTAATCCTGTATAGGTTTCTCACATTGACTAACACTCAACCCTGACGATGTTGGTAGTTTCCAACGAAAGCTCGGTATTTATTAAATTTTTTCTAGTATTGAATTCTTCCTGGTGCTCGTGTTTTGTTTAAATCTTTGTGATATCTATATCTATATCTATAGTTTACATAAAGTTATCTGTTATTGAACATCAATCAACACAAAACATACCCATCTGAACAATAGTTGGGAAATTTCTTCAAAAAATGACATTGATCCAGAACTATTTATTAGTGATATCACTAATGCTGGCCAGGGAGTACTTCTACTACAGCTCTTTGGTTCATACTTGTGTTGAAAAATATTTTCGTATTCTAATCTAGAGAGAGAAAATATTCCATTTTTGGAGGATATAAAAGGTATTTTCAATTCCATTTGTTGCTTTTCAAATGTCATGTTTCAATAAACCTGTATACCCATTTTTCTGCCTTTTCCCTCCCCAAAGGAATGACCTTCCAAGACTGCAGAATTTCCTCTGATTTAAGGATCAGCTGTTTCCTGTCATACATCCCAGGGCCAAGATGATGACTTTCTTCCTACAGACATTTCTACTAGCTTGCTTTGTAGCTACTATACAAACCAAGGTCTATGGTCGCTGTGAGTTGGCTCATGTGTTGAAGAAGAATGGGATGGATGGATATGAAGGTTACAGCCTAGCCAGTTGTGAGTGCAGTTCCTCACTGGATAGCTTATTACTCAAGTACTGAAAGTTGGACTAATGGCCTACACGTAATATTCCCAATGTAGCTTTTATTAAGCAGCATTTCCTATTTTTTCTCCATAAGCACGTACTTGCTTTATTTGCTCTAGAAATTGCCCAGCTTGTTTCTTATTAGATCTCTTCCTACAATTTTGCATGATTAATGCCTCTGTTTGTTTCTTGGATCTGCATAGTATTACTTGAAGCCATTTCTGGTTATACTCATCAAATCTCTAGGAAGTTGCAGATTGGTGTAGCCAGATCTGACCATTGGCTACACTGAAAGCTCACCAGTGCAAAAGACACCAAATGAATGGATGTTTTTACAAATTCCATTGAGTAGGAGTCCATTTCCTCCAGTAAAATTAATGCCAGAATTAATTCCTTAATTAAAGGATCAATAAGAGGAAGCCCATCTCTATACCAGACAATTAAAATATAGAATTTGCTACCATAATATACAGTCTAATCATCAATTTATATTGTTTTTAAAAGGCCTCAGCAAGTTCAGCAAAAATAAATGATCATTCAACTCATGTTGAAATTTTAATGTAATGTTAAAAAGTTTAGCTCCATTTGACTTCCAGAAGGAATGATATGATGTCCTTTTTGTGAGTTTCTTGGGGTCATTTGGTTGACCTCTGTGTAACATAGAACTTTGTGCCGAAGGTCAGGCAAAGCATGTTAAACTCCAAAAATGCTTTTCTCCATCACCAGTTTGATGCATGTTTTGCCATTTCCATACATTATTAGCAAGAGACAAGTTCCAATTAGCTGTTCATGGAGAGTCTGTTACTTTCCACATAACCCTTTGATATTACTCCTCTCTGGTCTTTTTTTTTTGTACCATCACACACCTGCACATGCACATATAGTCTTTCAAAGAAGGGAAGAGCTGCTCGTCTCATAATGTCTAACGGGAAGATTAAAAACAAATTTAGAGTGAACGTTGAAAGGAGAATTTTCTTAAAAGCTTTTTCCACAAGGGCATCTTGGCATGGCCATGTAAGCTAGGGATAATGGAGACTGAAGTCCCACATGTATAGAGGACCACAAGACATAGAAGTCAGAGTAGAATATTGGAATGGGAATAGTTGAATACTCTCCAGGCATATAACCTGGTCTACCCAAATATGAGACAGAGCGTTCACCTTTCAGCCCCAACGCAGAAGTGTTCACAGGTCGATTTGTGTGTTAAATTTAAATTTACCGACAAAGAATTAAAAAGAGACTAGTCTCCCTATAATTCTTTGTCGGTTAATGTAAACTCACCAGACATATGTTTCATATCTAGGCCTCTAGGCTGGATCTTGCCTCTTGGTCGCATTTTGGAATATTGAGAAAGTCAGAATGAGTGGAAGGCTGTGAAATGAACTCCTGAGGAACTTCTTTCTCTCCTTTGCAGGGATGTGCATGGCATTTTACGAAACTGGTTTTGACACCAAGGCCATTGATCGGCACAAAGGTGGCAGCAAAGACTACGGCATCTTCCATATCAACAGTGGTTTGTGGTGTAAGGAAAACAGTGCCTTATCAAAGGCCATTTGTGACGTAGCTTGCTCAGGTGAGTTTGTTTTATATATTGTAATGTTAAAAATCATTAGAGCCAATGATAATGAGCCTGTGCAAAATGGAAGTTTAGATTTAGATTTAGATTCAGTAAGGAGATCTGTACCCTTGGCAAAAAGAATCCTACCAAGTTTGGTTGCTTGCATCCTCCCTTCCCCAAGAGGGGATCATGATAAATCTTTTTTTTTTTTACGGTACATTAATATAACAAGCGGGCAAACTATTGTTTGCTTGCTTTTCTTAACGTTTCTGTACATTACCATATGTAATGGTAATTTCTCTTATTTCCCCCACTCTCCCATCAAAACAATTATACCACTCAAGACATATTGAAACATTGCCACCGGCTGGCTATTCAAATTGCAGTTCTGGAGAGCGGTCAAATATTTAATGGAGAAAAAGTCTCTCTGGGTTTTTTTTTTTTTTTTTAGATCATCACTCCCTTCGGCCCATTCTACCATGTTTAATGGGAAGGGACTATGGGAACTCTCTCAGTGGGCCTTCACCTGGTTTGTATTCAGTAGCGTTGTCAGGCATACGAAACACTTCAGAGATGTTGCTGTATGTGTTTAGGAAAGATAACCATAAATAGTCTCTTGGTTCCTTCTTTGCCCTGTGCAAAATGAGTTACAGACTCAGAGTAATTGGGTTGACTAACTGGGGCCTCTAATGTCAAGGCAAATTCTCCCCATTTAAAACAAACATTCCTTTAACATAGTATATAAAATTGTTAAAATGTCTTGGCTGGGTTTAAACAGCCCAGCTTTGATGCTGCAAAAGTAGTTAGGCTTGGAAGTCCTGCTTAGTACTAGTGCACTGGCTTTCTAAATAGGGAGAATTATATGCCCTTTTCATTTGGGGGATCACTTACCGAGACAGTCTGACCTCTGAAATTCTATAGCTCAACTTTACTGCATAATGGTCTAGGCATGTATGGATTGCCTCTGTGGGCATGAAGACCTGAACTGAATATTTCCAGTTTCACTGACGTGCTCAGGAATTGTAGAAACATGTGCAGATAGATAGATAAACATAGGCTTGTACTTATGGAGAAAAGCATAAATTTGGGAACTAAGAGGAAGCAGTTTAGTGCTGTTTAGTTGGACCTTACAATTATATCTCATAGAAGTTTGTTTCATTTCAATAGAAGGTTTCCTCTTCAAATGGGGAGGGGCGTTTTCTAGCTCTCATAAGTTTGAGAATCTCAAGGAGTATAAGGAATTCATTTTTTAATATTAGTCTTTTAGTTCATCTGCTGGCAAAAACAGTTATTGGTCATCAGTGATAAGGCAATTCCAACTGGTAAGCCAGCTGTTGGGCTACCAATCTGAGGTACAAAGTTCTAGATGTCTACTAGATATTTGTTTGTTTGTTTATTTATTTATCAAATTTATTTGCTGCCTATCTTGTGGTTCTGGCAAAAAGACTGAGAGGCATATTGCAATCTTGACATGCACCCATCTATCTAATTCAGCCTACCAAACCAGAACACAGGGCCTCAAAAGAAATCCTTTCATTATTCCTTATCCCGAAGCCGCATTGACAATCAATCTCATTTTAGAAAAAATTCAGACTGCTGATGATGATTTGTAGAGTCTTGTATAAGACTGGATTATTTGAAACTCTTGGGCATTCAAAGCTTTAGGAGAGGCTCTCCTCTCAGGGTCATCACCCTCAGAAGCACATTTAGAAAAAACACAGGGAAAGATCTCCACTGGGGTTGCTGCTAGGTTCATATCTCTGCCAGATCACGTTATTCAAGCCCTGGTGCTGGCAACTTGTGTGGGGTGGAGAGAATCTGGTATATGTCTGAACTGATGGTGAACTGAGTTGTTGATGGTCCTCCTGTGTGAGATTTTGGGAAGGGGGAGGCAGGAAAAAATACTTGTCGCTCTTCACTCTACTCCTATAGAATCATTTTCCTCTGGAGATCTGGAGGATGACCTCCCTAATAGACTTTGGGAAGGCAGCGAAGAGAGAATGATTTTGCCAAGCCTTTCATATATAATGCTCTTGAGAAGCGTACACTGAAGGAGCGTTGAGCTTTTTTATGGTGTAAATGAAGCTTGACTAGAGCTAGACTTTTTTATAAACCCACCAGAAGTCTACATGGAGTCAGCATTTTTAAACTCCTGGAATAAATAAGTACTGTAGTATTTTCTTTGCCTCAAAGAGTTTCTTCCAGCTTTGGATTATTAAGGAAAGTCTGCTGCCTTTGTTCACACCTTTCTAACATCTTTCTTTGTTGCTTGTGTTTCTCTCTCCCCCTCTCTCCCCACCTCTCTCTCTCTCTCTCTCAAGATTTGCTGAATCCTGATCTTGAAGATGACATCACCTGTGCCAAAAAGATTGTGAAAGGCTCCGCTGGCATGGCTGCCTGGTAGGAGAACAAATGGCTGCCTCTGTCTAATGATAAGTAGTCCCCTCTCTATGATTTTGTAGACTGGGACAATAGCTCACAATCTGCTGCTGCCTGAATGCTTTAGATCAAGGTTGTTTTTTTTAAAACTGGGTTCCATAGATGGGATTCTGTTCTAATAAGCTTTGTTTAAGGTTGGGGGTTGTATCCCAAATACTAAAGAACCTCATTATCTACATGTGATTTAGGCCAATGTGTGTCCTTTGGAATTGTGTTTTCATGTAGAATTGCCATTTCTCTGCCCGTCTTTTTCTTGTGCCTTTACGGCTGATATTAAGCAGATACAGTGGTATCTGAGTACTCAGCTGCTTCGAAATTCATCAAATTTGGTACTCAATGCATTTTGATGTGCAAATTTTGTCCTGGTGCTCATTGTTTGTTTGGTACTCAATGCACAAGCTAGAACCTGTTGGCGTTGGCTGCCTTGTGGCTCACTACATGATTCCTTACGGGGAAAAAATTGTTTGATATTCATTGTTTTTGGTACTTACCATGCCTCCCAGAACCAATTAACGATGAGTACCAAGGTACCACTGTAACTTTTTTTTCACTTGCATTTTGTAATCTGAAGCTGTTGTTACTAAAATGACAAAAGACACCTATATAACAGAGAAATATGACAGAGAGACCAGGAGTGCATGTTCATTACGAGTTATTTTAAAAGAAGGAAAAGTCTGCAGGTACAGATTGTCTAACACTATTCCCTCTCCCAACTCTTTTAAATAACTTGAGCTTCATTATCCCTTTTTCTGAAATACAGGTGAACTTTGTGATTTGTGTGTGTTTTTAATCTCAGCCCTAATCCTAACAATTGCAGATAAGAGAATTTTGGATAAGAAAACCTTGAAAAAATGTACTTTATGCATATGCAAATGCATCTTTGCAAGTTTTCATATTCATACATTAAAACCCCTCACTCCAAAGTCCTCTTTAAAGAGAACCATATGATCCAAACTATAAATATGTGAAACTCTTTGCTATGGATTGCAAAATTTTATCTCTATTTTCTCATTGCTGATATGCGAAGCTGCAACCAACAGAATGAGAAAAATGAAGGCTATTTATACTAAAGATGTTAGAAATCCTGCCTCTTTTATGCCTGTTTCTTCACGTTTTCAAATAATTTATATTTTAGTGTTAAGTAATTTTGTAATTTATCTGGATGTTCAACAAAAAGAATAGCCGATTTCCCACATCTGGGCCTGTGTGTGGCATCTACTTCAGAGGGATTCTAAAGAAAGAAATATTAGAGTTCCTAATGCTATTTTATGTGTCTTTCACAGCAAAATAGCTAAAAGAAAACCCCAGTTTTAAATTACTGGGAGATGCAGTTATATTCAGGCTGATAGAGATACAGAAGCCTAAATAAGAAGGGGAAAAAAGTTAAGAAAACAGTTCAGTTATAATGACCAAATAGCTTGCTATGTCCATCTACACATAAATCTCCATACTTTATGACTTAAAGCCTAGTTTACACAACTCACTAAAACTGTGATAGATCACTGTAATATGCTGAACCACAACAGCAACACCATTTTAGTTTACTCTGTAGAATTCTGTGAAACCAATCAGCAAATTTCAAAGCTACAAACACTTAATCCTATAGACTCTAGTAATTGAATTGTGATTGTTTTATTTTAAAGATCTGATCCTTTAGAGACCTTCACTGAAAAATTAGAATGTGCACAAATATGTTCTACTATCCACTATCCTGGTCATGCCTATGGCCAAATTTATGAAACATATCCATATGCATGATTAAGTGATGTGCAATACTTTCAGAGAAATGAAATAAGGATGCAGAAACCTATCAGAATAAAATTAAATTAAATATTTTAAAACTCAGCCCATCAATGAGTCACTAACAGGATTCAAAAGCCCATCTAATAAAATTGCTTTCATTATCAATGATTGGTCCATTAATGGGAGAAAGTGGCAAGAAGGTGACAAGCAACAGGGAGAAAACCTGCATCTGTCTTTACACAAAGGGAAAAAACAGTCCAACCTATCAAAAACAGTACCATAAAAAACAGATTAGAAACACAAGTTAAGATAGGCAAGAAAATGGTAAGAGAGCACCTGTCCATCCTAGACGAGTTCAAATCACCAGGACCAGATGGATTACACCCCAAGGTTCTGAAGGAACTGGCAGATGTGATCTCAGAACCACTGAACTATATCTTTCAAAGATTCTGGAGCGCTGGGGAACTACCAGAGGACTGGAAAAGAGCTGATGTAGTTCCCATCTTCAAAAAAGGGGAAAAAATGGATCCAGGAAACTACAGTCCTATCAGCCTGATCTCAATACTTGGAAAGATTCTGGAAAAAATAATCAAACAAATCAGTGAACACCTAGAGGCAAACAAAGTCATTACCAAAAGCCAACATGGATTTGTCAAAAACAGATCACGCCAGACAAATCTTATTGCATTCTTTGACCAGGTGACAAAATTAGGGGGCCAGAAGAATGCTGTGGATATAATTTACTTGGACTTCAGTAAAGCATTTGATAAAGTAGATCACAATCTACTACTTGATAAGATAGAAAAATGTGGGTTAGACAGCATCACCACCAGATGGATTCGTAGCTGGCTGACCGGCCGTACTCAGCGTGTGGTCCTCAATGGAACTCATCTACATGGAGGGAAGTGTGTAGTGGGATGCTCCAGGATTCTGTTCTAGGCCCAGTGCTCTTCAACATCTTCATCTTTTTTATTTATTTATTTATTATTTTTAACCAACAAGACAAAACAAAACAAAGCAAAACATAACACACATACACACACAATATATACTCCTCCTTTTTTTTACAGCAATTGCGTAATGGTAATCTATTATTTACATTTTCCCCTTATTCTTCTTTAGAATATTTGTCCTTATAGCCCCGTTATTTCTTATTTACATTTTTCTTCCTTCATGTTCTACTTCTTACTAAGAATAATTCATATTATTATTATTATTATACATTATTATATACATATTTTCACTTTTGACCTTTCCATATTTATTCTCCTCTATTATTTCTAGTCTCCAACCAGACCTACAACTTGTTCCATATTATATAATACTCTGTGTCTTCCTTTTCTTTTATCTCTTTTGTTAATTTGTCCATCTCAGCACAGTCCAGGATTTTTCTTATTACTTCTTCCTCTGATGGTATATTCTCATTTTTCCAGCACTGTGCATATGCTATTCTTGCCGCCGTTATTATATGTAAAATTAAGTACCATATTTCCATAATCAGCGTGTGGTCCTCAATGGAACTCATCTACATGGAGGGAAATGTGTAGTGGGATGCTCCAGGATTCTGTTCTAGGCCCAGTGCTCTTCAACATCTTCAACGATTTGAATGAGGGGATAGATGGGGAGCTCATCAAATTTGCAGATGACATCAAACTGGCAGGAATAACCAACACTCCAGAATACAGGCTTAAGATACAAAAGGATCTTGACAGACTTGAACATTGGGCGCTATCTAACAAAATGAAATTCAATGGTGAAAAAAGTAAGGTTCTACATTTAGGCAAGAAAAACCAAATGCACAGGTATAGTATAGGTAGTAGTAGTAACTGTGAGAGGGATCTTGGAGTCCTAGTGGGCAATCACTTAAATATGAGCCACCAGTGTGCTACAGCTGCCAAAAACGCCAACACAGTGCTAGGCTGCATTAACAGAAGGATAGAATCAAGATCATGTTAATGCCTTGGTAAGGCCACACTTGGAATACTGCATCCAGTTTTGGTCACCACAATGTAAAAAGATGTTGAGACTCTAGAAAGAGTGCAGAGAAGAGCAACAAAGCTGATTAGGGGACTGGAGGCTAAAACATATAAGGAACGGTTGCTGGAATTGGGAATGTCTAGTTTAATGAAGAGAAGGTGACATAATAGTAATGTTCCAATATCTCAATATCTCAAAGAAGAGGGCATCAAGCTATTCTCCAAAGTTCCTGAAGGCAGGACAAGAAGCAACAGATGGAAACTAACCAAAGAGAGAAGCAACCTAGAACTAAGGAGAAATTTCCTGGCAGTTAGAACAATTAATCAATGGAACAATCTGCCTCCAAAAGCAGTGAATGTTCCAACACTGGAAGTTTTTAAGAAGAGACTGGATAGCCATTTGTCTGAAATGTATAGGGTTTCCTGCCTGAGCAGGGATTTGGACTACATGACCTCTAAGGTCCCTTCCATCATCATCGCCATCATCATCGCCATCATCATCATCATCACATGAAATTTTAGGGGTAGCAATATGAAACCATTTGCATTGCTTGCAGGATGTTTTTTTTCAAATTTGCCAGTCTAGCCTATAGTCTGGATGTGACCTGGTGCCCTCCATTTAAGCAATAATTAGGTTTTTGCTTGGCTTAGCATTTTCCAAGTTTAGCCAAGGTTGTCTAGATGCTGTAGCCATGGAGTCAATCATGCTGAACCTATTCGCATGGAACAGCATGAGATAGGATTCTGAGCATTTGGGCTTTGTGTACTGTGTCCCAGCACTTGCACTCTGTTCATAGTTTCTTCCTACCATCTGAAGTGGATAAATAAGCCAGAAATCACTTAACAATTTCATCTAAAATGGGGGTCTTTCTTTATCTGGAGTGCTTTTTAAAAGCTGGCATTGTAAACCCAATTGTTCTTGGTCTGCCATTTTTAACTTACTTGATAACAAGAAACCAAGTTTCTTCCTTGGCACATCATATCTAGAAAAACCAATAAAGCTTGATCTGGTTTTGGTTCTACACAAGCTCCTGGACTTAACTAGCTAGGATCTGGCTCAAAGAATGCTGACATGAGAATGTGTTTCAGTTAGCGGCTTTTAAGGAGACTGAAAAGCTTGGCAGTTCCTTGAAAATTATTAAATTATTTGTAAAAAGAGCATTTCAGAATGGATGTAGCTTTTCTTTCAAGGGCTCCAGTCTGTAACTGAGGAGCCTTTTCAAGAGACCAGAAAGGAAGGCAATTTAGCCTTGATTCGCTAAGGAATTTGCCACAAGAACAACCGAGTCTTGACTTGCGTTGGGTTTCAGAGCTGCCCTTCATTTTCTGTCACCAGTATGATTGTCACCAGGAAGTTCAGAAGCAAAGACTCCCAGTTTTTAAACTACTGCTTATTTAGCAAGCTATGGCTAATGTTAATTGTGGCTAGCATGCTTCATTTCAGCCTCTGTTCATCTTTTGCATAAAATGGTCCTTGTAAGAGGGAGGGGGCTACTGAGGGAAACCCAAGTTCTCTGAGGCTCCTTCTGGTCATTTTCAACCATGGCTAGTGGGATGCTTGATGTCTGAGCCAGGATGGTCTCTAGTCTGGGAATTTAAATTCCTTTAGTTATCAACCCAACAAGAAATCACCAATGCAGAAGGCTTTTTATCAACAGAGAGGTGGCTAGGTAACATAAGAGAGCCATTGTCTGGTAGACCTTTTGGGCTGCAGGATGAACTGAAGCTGTCTTATAAGTACTTTAAACAAAATAATCAGAGAACCATTACGAAACAGCAGGCAGTGGGGTGATGCTGTTCAGCCCAGCCTTGCTTTTCTTCAGAGACAGTGGCTGAGCATTTGCTTCTTGCGTTTTGGTAAGCTTCCCATGTGTGCTTGAGGATCTAAAGCTTTTGTGCTTAATTAACTATTGTTTTACTGACTGTTGCTTATAAAATAGAATGCGGCTGATATAATAAACTTATTAAATATAAGAAAATTTTCCACTCTGTTAAGACATTCTAAATTTATTAACAAAGTTAACAAAAGAAGTTAATAAAACATCAGTAAATCAAGGTGGGTTTTTTTTTAAACAAGCCCCACAGCTGGTGTACTTACTGATGTTTATGCCAGCTTCAAGAGAATGGCAATCCGGGAGTAGGAAACCAACTTGAAATCTAAGTCACATAATAGTCCTGAAAAACTGAAACATCTTAAATTGACTTTTTTTTTACATAGATTAAAAAGTGGCATGGCAATAAATTGACAGGATATATAATATGGTTTTGTATCTTGGTTTGGGAAGGCTTGCCTGGAGACTGATATATAGCCGAAGTTCACATGGACTTGGTACAACGATTGCAGCTATAACGCACAAATTGTGTATATAAATTAGAGGGTGTATGAAACTTGTTGACAATCTTTGCAACATAATAGGTGTTCAGCATAAAATTAGACATTTCATAAATCATCATCAGAGCCTCTGAATAAATGTGAACAGAATTGCAAACTTAATATTGATCTATATCTGCTCCCCTGTTCCCTGTTTTGTTCTGAATTTGTCTGTCTTGACTGTTACCCAAACTGGTCATCTCTTTTTAGTTATTTCATAGCTACCTTTTGTATTTAGATCACTTTACAGATTATATTTTTACCTGAATTCCTAAGGTTTTCTACATGTGGCCCAAACATGCCACTGTTTGCAAATTAAGTATTGGCAAGTTGCAACAACTTGGTCTGGTTGCAGCATTCTGGTATTTTTGGGTGACATAATCTTGGTTAGTCTTTATGTTAGAATGTAATATGGCTCTTGAATGATGGTTTTTAGAAACATGATTTATTTATTTCTGTGAAGTAGAGAATATGAATAAATATTTATCAACCAAATAAAGATTATCTTTATGTACAAATTTAAATTTCCAAAGCCTAGTAAAATACCATACAGTGAAAAAAGAACACCCTGTCCTCAACCATCTTTGTAAGGAGATGATTGGCAGGCCCAGCAAATTAGTGATGCATTTTTCTTTAATGATATTCACTCCTGGCCTGAGACTGGAGTGTAATGGCAGAATCAATGTGACTGATCAATAGTTTAAGAGGGAATCAGCATTCTGCTAACAGAAGAGCAGCCTGCATGAAAGCATAGAGAAGTGAATGGTTGGCACAGAGGCTTTGTAGCAATCAGAATAAATGTCCAGGGAATGAAATGGATAGAATTATTATTATTGTTGTTGTTGTTGTTGTCGTCATCATCATCATCATCAACAACAACAACCACCTGTAGAACACTAGTAGTAAAAGGGGGGGGGGAAATGAACCTACCACTGGGAGAAAAGCATTGGCATTTGTTACTGATACTGTGCTTTGTACCAAAATAGTACACGTACATATGCAGTTCATTCTGATTCATTTTCTCTTAATGCAGGCACCAGTGGAAAAAGCACTGTGAAAACCAAGATATGAGGAAGTGGGTACAGGGGTGTAGGGTTTGAAAAGGGAGCTGGTTGCAGTCTATTTCATCTCTCATGTATCAAAAAACATTTAAAAAAACAAAACAAAACAAAACCCCTCACCTTCTTTGTTCTTTCATTGGTTCATTCAGTTTCCACTTACTGACAGAAAATGTTCATAATAACATTCCTTTGCTTTGTCTTCTTGCTAACTGCACCAAACTCTGGAGCAGCAGATTCTACAATAAAGCTCCTCTTGTGTGGGACACACTGTGGTGGAAAGGTGTCTAGCAAAGAGCTCTGTGCAACATCATTGGCATTTAGGATGTAAGGATGAAGTTCAGACCTTGTAACTGAAAGAGATGTTGGAGGCAGAAGAAAGCCACAGTTTGAGTTACCCATGGCACTATAATTGGAGGTCACAGTTGTTGCCATGTTGGTTTGTTTTAGCGCAATTTGCTGTTCCAGTGTTTTGACATTAACATATACAAGGCCAGGGCCAATAATGTGTTGTCAGATGCCAAAAAATATTACTCATAAGGTAGAGCAACATGGCAGGCAAAAAAAATAAAAATAAAGGTCATTGTGAGTGGGTTGAGAGCAACATTTGGAAAGGGGGTGACAAGGGGGAAACATAGATAGGCAAAAAAGTTAAGGAAATGATAAAGCCTCCTGCTGTCATCAAACTGAAAAACTTAAAATAAGAGGCAATGCTGCTGAATATACAGAGAACACAATATGGAAGTCTTTGTGCAACAGGCTTGATCAAGTTATTAAAATCAAATCCCTTCATTTCCATAAGCAGGGAGAGGAGAGGACAATGAAAAAATGGGCATTTTGATGTTGTTACTCAAATCATGAGACCTAATGACTTGTATTCAACCTAACAATGGAAATAGACAACTTCTAAGTTGGGATGCTTAGTTAGTAGGAACCTTAGCTAATGGGGATAGAGTTTAGCAAGTACCGTAGTGCAAGTTCACTTCACCAGATTAGTTTATGGTCAAATGGGTTGTGCCAACTCATAAAATGTTTTAGCACAATAGTTTCCTCAGAGATCGGTTTTTCAACATGTAAGCTCCATAAACTCAAGGCAGCACTGCTTGAGAGGAAGCAGCTACTGACCATGCCTCATTCAGATCACAAGAAACTGCCCAACTTCCTTCCATGATCATCCTAAACAAACAAACAAACAATCAGACAGCAATAAGGCATGAATATAGTTTTACTGAGGGTGAAGCCAAAGCATGGAGCAGGACATATTCTGCAGAGAACCTTGAGGGGAAATAAAAGGAAGGCATTGAGGTGAAACCATTTACTTCTTCATGCACCATTCCAGGTGCCGTTCAATCTTGGCCCCAGAAGATTCATGACTCACAGAGCACTGAAAAGGGGTGGCAGAGTTAAAGAAATTGCGTGATACATTAAGGATGCTGGAGGTGGTGTAGGTGCCATCCTCATTCAAGGTCACTTGTCCAGAGGTCACTCCCTCAGTTATATCCTTCCCAGCTGCACTCCACTTGATCTCTAATAAGCCTGGGTAGAAGTCCTCAACTATGCATAAGGCATGGACATCAGGAGATTCTGGTTTCTGGGAAACATCAGACAATATGATGACCGATGATGGCACTTTTGCTGATTGTCCTGTGGAAAACAAGAATAATTGAGTCTTACCATTCTCCCAAACCGCCATAATATTGTTGATTCAGAACCATATTCCCACAATTTAGTGTCAACACTTGCTTTTGGAGGTTTGGTCTAAAAGCCTGCTGGATTGGCTGATTAGCTGCCACAGCACTCACTCAACACTGAGATCTGCAACGGTATGACTTGTGCAATGTGAACACTGGCATTTAGAGATAGCAATGGATTTTTAGATGCTGGGCCTTTTTATTTCTTTTATAGATGATTTTTGCTATTTATTAGTCACAACTTGTTTCTGAATCAAGGAGAGGTTAATGTGTGGTGAGAATGCAAAAAAGGATATTTAACTCCAAACAGATTCAGTCAGTTGTATGGTGGGAACATCAAAACGTATCAATTGACTTCTTTGCTTTCCTGGTCCTCCATTAAAAAGAAAGTCTAAAAAAGTACTCTAAGCCTTTCTATTACGGAACTCACTGCTAAAGCTTTAGTGACCCGGAATATGCATTTCAGACACAAGACAGCTGCCATGAACAAGCTATGCTTATTGCTGTGTTCCTGGTTAATTGGAACCAGACTAGTGACATCATGTTATCTTGCCAGTATCCTTTTGGTGCAAAGGCTTGTGGGATATCAGTTCCCGTAGAATTTGTATGGCATTCTGTTCTAATTCTACCAGATCTAGCTGCAAAAATCCACATGACTATTACAGTAGATGGTAGTAAAGATTTTTGCCATTCAAGTCTAATTACTCTACTCTGTCCTCCATTTCCCCCCATTCAATTAATAGGATGGGATTGAGTACTGTCAGAATCAGTGGTAAGGAGATTTGACTAGGTTAATAGCTGACTGGGATATATATGTTGTTGGAACAGAACCATTGTGCAAATATAGTTTAATCCAGGGGGTCCTTTTAAGACCTGTGGGCTTCAATTCCCAGAATTCCTGAGCCAGTTGAAGTCCACAAGTCATAAAGGCGTCATAGTTCCCCACCTCTGGTCTAATCCAGGAGTGTCAAACTCGCAATGTCATGTGATGTGTCGTGACATATCACGACTTTTTTTTCCATTGCTGGCAATGGGGTGGGCGCGGTTTCACCATGACGCATCCGGCCTGCAGGCTGGCAGTTTGACACCCCTGGTCTAATCCAATTCTACCTAGCCCATTCTCCATTAAGTGATAACAAGCAACATCAAAATTAACTTTGCTGCCATCTGGTGGCCCCTAGTGTAAAGCTCTAGTGGAAATAGAGTTTTCCATAACCTGCCAGCCTTGTTTGGTTTAATTGCATGCAGGGTTCTTAGGAGGCTTAACCAATGGTTGTTGCCCTCAAAATAAGACCAAACCCCATTGCTATTCACTAAAGCCTCACTGCAGCCCAGGTTTTAATAGCATTTAAAACATTCTAGCAGTGTTTATTCCCTCCCTCCCTTGTAAAGAGCAAGAGAAAGAAAATGCCTTTGCTTTACTTCCACCTGTTATGCAATATTCCTGCTCACCTCCTGTGATGATGAGCCGTGTTCCACTCCCTGAGACCGCTATCTGGAAATAATTTCCCTCTGCTAAACAGAAGTAGGTGGCGCTTTCATCTGTTTTCACCTTCTGGATCTGCAAGATGTAGGCATTGGTGACGGCATCCCGGATGGGCACAAAACGTGCATCAAACGAAGAGGATCGTTCTATCTGCCCATTGTTGCTATGCTTCAGGATGAAGGCCGGGCTTTTGCTTGGCTTTTGCTGGAACCAGAAGACATGGTAGTTCTGGATCTTGCCACTTTGCAGAGGGCACTGCAGGACAGCAGTGGAGCCCTCGGCATGTAAGACCTGAGGTGGCTGGACAGGCACAGGTTGCAAGGCTCCACCTGAAGAAGGAAGAAGAGTAGCAGAGATTTATCCTGCTACTGAAGCAGAAGGTTGGAAATACATTCATTCGTCCTTCTTTTGAAAGAATCTGCTCAGCCCTGCGTGCTGAAACCTGTATGGAGGACTTCCCTTTCCAGAGAAGGAGGATTGGTTGTGCCCATTAAGCAAAGCATTTTTATTTGGTTTCACAACACACTTAATCAAATTCGTTCAAGACAGAGCAGCTCTAATTTGCAGAATATTCCAAATCTTGACTATTGGGTTAGCTCGGGATGCAATATACTCTGCAACATCACTGACACCCTCTCCTCCCCCCCAAAACAGGGAATTCATAGCCATATTGAGCCATGGTGGTGCAGTGGTTAGAAAGAAGTATTTCAGGCTAACTCTGCCTATTGCCGGGAGTTCAATCCCGACAGGACTCAAGGTTGACTCAGCCTTTCATCCTTCCGAAGTAGGTAAAATGAGGACCCAGATTATTGAGGGCAATATGCTGACTCTGTAAACTGCTTAGAGAGTGCTGTAAAGCAGTGGTCCCCAACCTTTTGAGAACCAGGATAATAAAACAGTCATTCTGTGAGTGTATCATAAATAGGTAACGTCATATATTTGTCAGCTTTTATCCAATCGCATTAATACATTTAAACATATCATAACTCCAATACACCACAGTCCCACTTCAGTTATGTATTCAACGTATTGTCTGATAACAGAACTAAAAATATACCTGCTAGGAAACTTTCTATGTCGCTAGTTCAGTATTTGTTAAAGAAAATGGTCAGATCCTTGCTTAGTGGCAAAAATCTAGCCAATCTTGGTTGAACAAAAATACTCTGTAACTATAGGAATTAATTAGCAGTTAGATGAGAGACAAGGGGAAAAGTCAGAGCTGTAAGTTAGACTCCAAGAAGTCAATCGCAACTTGTCAGAGGTTTTAATGATTGGAAAGATGGAAGCAGGGTAGTATAGCGTTTTCTATTCTAGTTTAGTTTATCTTTTTAAAAAAATCACAGTGAGAAGAAAAACAATTTACAGTACATCTCAAAACTGGCACCTGGCTATGTAACAAAGGGAGAGAGCATGGGCTCCTTAGCCTTATCTCCAATGTGCCCTCTGCACCAACTTTGCAGATGTTTCAAAGTGGAGATATCTTGATCTTAGATCTTAGAAAGAACCATAGTATCTCAGAAGTATCAGAAAGGAGAAAGAAGGAATCCAGTCTTAATTCTCCTTCTCTTCAGTTTGAAGACGAGAAGAGAAGGTGACATATTCTATGGCTCTTCAGGTGTTATCCCACAGACCATCAGATGGCACTTTGAGCATTATTTGCTTATGGTACCAATATGACAATAATTGTTTCTATCTAAATGAGGACGCAGATTGTTGGAGTCAATAGGCTGACTCTGTAAACTGCCTAGAGAGGGCTGTAAAGCACTGTGAAGCGATATTTAAGTCTAAGTGCTGTTGCTACTTGTTACTGAGACTCCTGCTTATTCCACGCTTATGAAAAAAATGGAAATATCTATCCATAAATATCTATCCATAAATAGCAAAACATATTTATTTTACCATTCAGTTTCCCAGATGTGCATCACCATTTATATGTCTTCATATCTCTGCTGCGTTCGTTAATTGTGTTCCCATGAAAGACTAGAGATGTCTAAATTTTGCTAGCTCACCATGCTTACTCTCTGTCCTAGCACAAGTCCTAAATTTCTCCTTTCCCACTGCAAGTACTTGGTCCCCTTTAGCTGACACATATACTCACTCTGGATGAAGAGGGCCAATGAAAGGCACAGCAGGATCATAGAGCTCATCCTTCTCTGCTCAGGGAGGGGCTCTGGAGCAAAGCCGATGTTCAGATCTTCACTGTAGAGAACACATGGCAGACATGGTATTTTATGAGTCTCAGACTCATTTGCAAGCATTTGCTTACGAACCAGCTTCTTTCCTGACTTTCAGGCAATATAGCTTAGTGATGAGCTTAAGGTAGCAGAGCATAAAGCTGATTATAACTCTACTGGGGGATTTCCATGGGGGATTTCTTCAACATTTGATTGTATGCATGTTCTGTTTTTTCCAAAACAGTGTGGTCCTACTGAATTGGGATAACCTGAAGTGATCCTAACAATTTGCTTTATATATTTTTTTAAATTCTTTGCATCCAGACAGAAAAGAGCAAAACATTCACAAATAAGTCCTTTATCTAAAGCAGATTTGCAGACTGCAAGAGCAAAAAAAAAAAAAAAAAAAAAAAGATTGCTGCTCCTAATTGTTAGATCCTTAATAATAATAAAAACTCTTTTTGTTAGTGTAGTATTCTACCTAGTTAATTATTATCCATCCATTCTTACAATCTTCTGAGGATGATTTAGCTAGTCTCTACTGGAAATGTTGAACTAGCCTTCCCATCCCTTAGCATTTATGTTGTTATGCAGAAGTCTGTATAACTACAGAGAATAATTTTCCCCAGTATGGTTTATATATCCTAAATAGTGAACATTCTAATCGTTGTCTTAAAAGTTCCATCTGATTTAAAAATACTCTTTAAGTTTGCTTTCTAACATGCATTAAGATTTGGGAAGTTCCATAACTCTAATCAGTAAATAATTTTCAATTAAAATATAAATTTAATATTAAATTTAATAAATTTGATATTTATTTAATGTTTATTTAAAATTTAATGTTTATTTAAAATTTAATAATACATAATTAATAATTACTTTAATACATTTAACTTAAAAGGATACTTTATTACTGAGATTTCTACCTCAGTTCAGTCTAGCAACTCTGAGCAGTATACAGAATCCAATCAGTAAAGAAAAATAGTGTATAAATACACAAAAAAATGGCAACTGACAAAACATGCCTAAATATATGTTAAATTCCTCTTCTACAGAATACTTCTCTCAAAAGATGGGAAAAACATCTTTATAGTTAAGCGCGCTGCTCTTCAATCCCTGAAAGTTCTATGACAAAATAAATTTAACCACTTTTCAAAAAGTTTTGGGGAACAGAGCCAACCTCACTCCAGGGACAATTTTTTTTCAAAGAAAGGGTGTCCTAATAGAGACTTTTTTATTTCCTCCTATCCAGGGGCATTCATACTGGAGTAAAAATGGGCAAAATGTCAGGCATGATGCCACAATTCAAGTCCCACCTCTTTCCTGTACGTGTGCATGCAGACGGGCATGGCCTGGATTGTGATGCGGTGCCAGCTACCTAGCAGATTGTGTTCCTTGTTTGCAGATGCTGTGCTGTCATATCTCTCAGTGAGTGGGAAGTTGTAATGGTCTGTGGGAATGAGCCCTTGGGAGACAGGAGGAAGAGCTCCATCCTAAGCAACCGCCATACAAATGGTATCTCAGCCCAGCGAAGGAAAAAAAAATGTGCGCGAAGCATCTCAGAAAAGACCCTCCGGTTTTCTGGAAAGTCAAGTCAAGGGAAGGAGCAAATGCTTGTAGACTGGCAAAATTCTATTACTGTAAACTTGCAATAAAGATCATGTTAGCACTCATGATTTGTACTTCCTGTTTGGATATGTTTTATCTTGCTGACAGGAAGGGATTGGCATCTATTAGACTTCCTGGGAGCATGTATTGGGCAAGCAGATTCTACCTGGAGCAGGCCATTTTGTACTTAAGAGGAACAGAATACGTTTTTCTCTCTGTGTGATTTCCATTAGAGGTAAATACAACAAAAGCAAATCCCTCTTTAATCTCTTCTCTTCCCGTCATTTAGGCATTTCAAATGATTTAAACAAGGAGTATGCGTTTTTCAGATTTGCAAAATCTTTGCTGTTATTTTCATAATATTATTATGACTACTAACTAGATTCAGATATAAAAATATACATTCTGTTGCCTTGTTGCTGATAGAAGTTTAAGAATTGCATCATTTACTGTTGAACATTACAACTGTCTTAAGTTTTTAAATTAATCTTTTAACATTTGATTTCATTAAAGTTTGTAGAAATCTATTCTTTGTAGTGTATATGTGGGAGATTGAAATAATATTGTAAATCGGTGGCTATTAAAGTTATGATATATTTGTGCTTTAATACACTCTGAAACTACTAAGAAGATGACTGTGCATTACTGAAAAAGATCTTGCATTGAAAACCATTTGTTATTCTGATAAACGAGTTTAGAAGTTTTCACAGGTGTCTATTAAATATCGTCAAGCAATGGGATGTTTGCCTTCTTTAAAAAAAATTCAGTGCAGTCCATGAAATTGCTTTTCCCCACCCCCCATTACTCTGTTTCAGTAATTTCAGAAAGTAGGGAAATCATTTTGTTGCTGCCGTGGTAGAAACGGGAGTCAGAAATCCTTGCACGTTATTCAGAGACCTTTCAGTAAATCTTGATATCTTTTTGGTCTATCTACTTTCTTCTGAATCATTTATCTCCATTTTACCTTTTGTACAGGAAATAGTAACATAAGACTATAAGAATGAGACTTTGTCATGCAACAAGCAACAGAGATGCTGAGCAGAAAGAATCTGGTGGCTTTCACTGTGTGGTCACCCTGGTATTAGTCACAGCTACTTTACTTTTTCTAATGGTTGGCCAGTACCTGCCCATATAAAGAGTTAGGATTTACTCTTCTTCCTTCCTTTAATCCCAAAACCTTGAAGAATCTCCATCTTTTGAACTTAAGGTAAGCCTTGTAGTGGGCTCAGGCCACTGGAGATGGAGAATAAACTCATTCTCCTGTCATAAACCCATCATGGAAGCTTTGAAACAGGATGTTTGCTTTCACATTCACAGAGCAAAGGAATAATAATAATAATAATAATAATAATAATAATAATAATATTGGAAGGGACCTTGGAGGTCATCTAGTCCAACCCCCTGCTCAGGCAGGAAACCCTATACCATTTCGGACAAATGGCTGTCCAGTCTCTTCTTAAAAACTTCCAGTGTTGGAGCATTCACCGCTTCTGAAGGCAAGTTGTTCCACTGGTTAATTGTTCTAACTGTCAGGAAGTTTCTCCTTAGTTCTAGGTTGCTTCTCTCCTTGATTAGTTTCCACCCATTGCTTCTTGTCCTGCCTTCAGGCACTTTGGAAAATAGCTTGACTCCCTCTTCTTTGTGGCAGCTCCTGAGATATTGGAACACTGCTATCATGTCCCCCCTCGTCCTTCTCTTTATTAAACTAGGCATACCCAATTCCAGCAGCAGTTCCTTATATGCTTTAGTTCCAGTCACCTAATCATCTTTGTTGCTCTTCTCTGTACTCTTTCTAGAGTCTCAACATCTTTTTTACATCGCAGTGACCAAAACTGGATGCAGTATTATAATGTACTGGCCTTAAGTTATCTTTCCTACGGTGCTTCATGTGTGGATGGTAAAGTTGTGAATAAGTGAATTATCACCTTTGATCTGATCTAAAGGCAAACATTTCTAGTCTTCTTTTTTGGATGATCATTAAGTGTTATAACCAAAGTTTGTTTTAAGTTGAAATATTTTTGGTTAAAGCCTATTATTCTCTGGGGTTTTTTTGAGAACTTTATTTTCTAGGGTAGAAGTGTTGATCTCAAATTAATGAATGAGTAACCACTATGCCTTTGAAAACATCAGAGGAATTTAAAAAGTTTTATTGATAAAATTACTTTAGACTCTCAAGTTATTGCTCAGCTCTTAAATTATATTTGGTCCATGTGAATTGATCAAATTTTGCTTTCTCAGTAGAGGATTTATTGATTTATTGCTCAAGATTTACTTGTTTATCACTGTTCTCTTGAACTGATAATTTTCTATTAGGTTAGATGTGTATAATTGGTATCTTGAAAGCGGATTTTTATTTTATGTGACAAGAAAGAAGTAGGTAGCTATCATTCTCATAATTTCTCTGAAAACTAGCCAGTTCAATAATGTTTCATTAAAGGGAAGTTTCACTAGAAACATTTCTAGATAGGAAAATAATTCATACATAATAAGGTAAAAAAAATAAGAAAATTTGAAATGAGTTTTGTGAGAGAAAGCTTTATAAATACTGTATCTATTGATAAACTCATTGAAAACTTCTCATCTAATGCTGTATAATTAGCTTTATTTGAAATCATATTGCCAATATTGTAGAAAACAGCATTCAGCAGATTCCACGCAGTATGTGTCTGTCATGTTTGGCAACTGATGCCTGTGATTCTTCTGAAGTTAAAACTACGTAAGAAGCAGATATGGAATGTGAGATCCATGTACAAAATAGAAGCTATTCATTGAAGAGTGGATTGTTACATTTGAGTTGATTCTGAAACATATTGGCTTCATGGCACTGTCTTTCAAGTAATTTAAACAGTGCTAATATATGGACACGAGGCTTTTCAGAAAACCATGATGAATATGCCAAATCCAAAATTAGAGATAATAACAGGAACGGGAGCAATATTTCATGAAATGGAGACCCCTGATCATTCATAGTAGACATAGCAGGCTATGGTGGGATCTCTGAGGACCCAAGTATCAACAAATATGTGAGCTCCTAACAACTGACACGTCAGCATCTGATTGGTGAAACAAGGAGCAACCTGATGGACAAAGAGGCCTAGCTTTGCAAATTCAGCTATTTTTCAGTTCCATTAGTCAAATGAATTGAGATCAATCTGGAATACATCTGAGCTAATTATAGGCCAGGGATAGATGATTCTGACACACCTGGTCACTGTTTTTCTCAACTTGTTTTCTTAAAAGGCTTAAAAATACTTTACCGCAAACCACTCGCGCGCTCCAGAGCGTGTCTGCAGGGCTTCCAAAAACAGTGTTGGAGCCAACAGAAATGTATAAAATAGTTTCTAATCATTAAATATGGGGCTAGGTCTCCACCTAGAGAGATCATGCCCCTCTGACTCTGGACACATAGAAACAACAGCACATGTACTCCTTCAGTGCCTATATTATAGAGACATTTGTACTAGTCTTATCT